TCCAGCAGTGCTGCTGAGTGAATGCACAACTGAAGAAAGTGAAGCTTCCTCCCTGTGATCAAGGGGCACACACGGTGACAGTCAAGGAGGCACATTCCACGAGCAAACACTCACAGAAGCTGCAAGCAACTCTCTCCTATCTGCGGCCGCAAGGCACAGATTGCCCACTCAACTCCCGGGGCCTGTTCCCCACTATACAGCTACAAAGGTGAAGGAGGCACCTCTGCCAGCATGCATGGCTTCTGCTTACCTTTACCTGTTCCTTTTATCCATCTCCATCCTGACCTGGAACATCTACAGGGAATATTTCTTTCCTCTTCTATCCCAAACACTGCAGGACAGGTGTTGCCAGTCACATCAAAAACTTACTCAGTCAGCACTCAAGTATTTGGGGAGTGATAGGTACGGAATTCCAAGACCAGGTTTCACCAGAGACCTACTGACTTACAATTTCATCAGTGTGTGCAGTGTTTGGTACCATGACTCGTCTGACCAGAGGTCCACTGTCTGTCACTCTGGCCACCAGAAGCCCACCTTATGCAGAGACCTGGGAGCAAAGATAGAGGAGATTTCCCCTGTGCAGGAAGACACACAGAGAAAAGCATGCATGCTATAACACGACAAGGTGTACATACAATGACAGCCAAAGGAGGACAAGTAAGAAGGGGGATCACTTGCTCCTGGAAGAACTGAATAGACTTCACAAAGAAGGAGAAACTGAGGCTGAGGAGCCATGCCAAAACAGCCAGGGAGAAGCAATTGCTCCTTGCCGTGACCTCACTCACCGCTCACTTCTCACCGGCAGGCCCACCATGCTGCTCTGCGATCAGTAGCTTGTGTGTCTGTCACACACAGCATGCAAACATCTCAAAGACAGGAATGAGGCATTCTCCATGGATCCCACTTTACTGCCCAGTATACCTGCTGACAAGGCAGGCAGGCTGCTGTAGGTTAGGAGAGTCGTATCAGGGAGCACACCCTGACCAAGTACCCACACCACCTGCCATTAGATAGTGTTCTTTCCATCTATGAGCTCATCTCCTCTGGACAGAAACCCCAAATGCATGGGGCCCAAGGAGATTGCTCAATGGCATAAGCATCTCCCTGGCAAGTGCAAGCGCCTGAGTTCAATCCCCGACACCAAAAAACAAACAAACAAACAAACAAACAAACAAAGAAAACCAAATGCAGATCCTACTATCATCATCCACTTTACAGATAAAGAAACTGAGATGCTGACAGATTAGATCAATTGTCCCAAGTTATACAGCTAGTAAATGATAGATTTGGACTTTAATTCACAGGCTGAACAGAAAAATCAGTTCTCAATTATCAGTGAACAAGTCCTTTTCCTTTCTCTTTCAGTCTCTGCCTCACATGGACTGCCCTTTACCCTACTGTTCACTGGGACCAAAGCCATTTCTCTCTTAGAAGAGAAGAAAGGGTGTTTCTTGTTAGTCTTCTAAACAATGCCTGCTAACCAGCACAGAGTAAACACCATGGGGGAAGGGAAGCAGAGAGACAAGTGTGTTGCTGCACCAGTCAGAAACAGTTTTTAAGTAGGAACTGTGTGTACCAACTTTCCAATGTTTTTCCAACAATTTTCAAAATAGGTTAATAAGTCATGGAGCAAAAAAATGCACGTACAATACTAAAGTTTATGTAACACTAAGGATATATGCAATAGTAAACAAAAAACTGGTAAGAATGGTTGCCTTTAGGGAAAAGATTATAAACAAGAAAGACACTCCACAATTGATTTCCCCACTTGCCTTTAAAAAATGATTTTACTTTTTAATAAATAAAATAAAAAGTACTATGCAAAGAGCCCTTTCCCAAATGCCCACATGCACAACTGCAACCATGAAAATTTATGCCTGTTTCTGAACAAAAACTGGATGTATTTAATGTGTGGTGAAACAGTACATTACTATAAAACACCTTCTGTCATTCATGTTAAAGTTCATTAATTCCATTAATGTTGTGAAAATATTTTGATGCAATTTAAAAAATGCATTTTGAGAAATAGATACAATATACATATAAGCATTAGGGACATTTGCCATACCTTCCCAGTGAAAACCCTTCATCAGTTCCTTGAATGAGTATTTAATGAGCACCTACTATACGCCAGGTAAAATGCTAGCCAGGTTGTTTGTTTTTTAGACAGGGTCTGGCTATGTAGTTCAGGCTGGCCTTGAGCTCACTATAACTCACTATGTAATGCAGGCTGGCCTTCAACTCTCAGCAATCTTTTTGCCTCAACCTCTCCAGGGCTGGGATTATAAGTGTGTGCAATCATGCTCAGTTTAAACAGGTTTTTTTTTAGAAGTCTTTTTTTATTTATTTCTTTATTTCTTTATTTGTGTGTGTGTGGCCAGCTTAGCCCACCAGGGGGTGGGGCTGGCTGGCATGTGGTGCTGGGGGATTGAACCACGGTCCCTGTGCTTTGCTAAGCTTGTTTTAAGTAGGTGCTTTAGACCACTGAGCCATCTCACCAGCCCCTAAACAGGTTTTTTGTAGTTGTTGGTTTTTGTTTCCTTTTTTAAGGAACTAAACTACAGGCCATTAGTTTTCACTCCATACCTTTCTCGAACATATAGCAGCATACCAATCAGAGCCAGAACTAGAACACCTAAGCGTCATGCAGTCTAAAACCCTCCTCTCTTAGCTAAGAAAACTGAGGTCTGGAGAGGAAAAGAGACTTGTCCAAAGTCATATAAGATGCAGAGACTCAGGGTTCCCGCTCTGCTTACACACAACATGTTATTCTGTACAGGTAGGGACAGGGGTAGAAAAAGAAAAGAACCCTAACAAGTGATAGCCAAATAGATCAGGTGCTTTCAAATAGCTTACCTCACTCTTCACAACTACCTCACAAGCAGCCTTATTCTTCATGTACAAATACAGAAATCAAAACTGTGAGAAGGTAAGAAACTGGGGGGAGAGGCCAATCATCTCATCAGCCAGTATGCTAGTTCTTGACTACCACCAGGCTTGGACTCCCTGGAACCTACAAGACACATGGTCACCCTGCGGACTACAGGCTCTAAGAGCCACTTATTTTGGCCACGACAGTGTGGGACAACTCATACATGCTGTCTCGCAACCCCCCAGGAACCTGTCACCCAAGCACTGGCTCTGTAAGGGCTAGTAATGAGATGCCATCCCCACAATGCCACTGGGTTACCACCACTACACCAGTGGTAGCATAGGAGGCCAACAGCATGGCGCTTGGTCCTGAAAAGTTCTATCACTTCTACAGTAAAGAATAGTGCAGACCAGCAAAAAAGCCTTCGCCACCTCCTCTTCTGTCCACACAACACAGGGAGGGGACATTACAGGCCTGGTCAACTTCTAATGAGACAAGGCACTGAGCATGGAAGGGTCACACACACACATGGGGGAGCCATCACCTTAACGCTCTTTTCTCTGCCTGCACAGGAACCTAACAAAGGTCTGGCATACCTTTCTTTTTGTGTGTCTTCTTCATGGAATGTGGTAAAATGGAGGGCTCATGCTTGGACAGGGGAGGAAGAATTCCACAGGGATCCAATGCACACCTCGTGTACAAGTCAGAGTCCTCGCTGGGGCTGGGTCTAAAGGTCAGCAAGCAATAAAATGTTTCTCTTCTTTCCATCTACCATTGCTCGCTGTGATCCTGTGTCTCCCCTGGAGACCTGGCAGGGAGAAACAACCAAGGATCCAAGCCACCACTCATCGCTTAGGGACAGCCCACCATTAGCTTCGTGCCAAAATCTACCAAGAAAGTGTCCAGATCTCACTTCTTGATAAATAATACCTTCCCCTCTAGACTCCAGGGTCCCAAATCCATCCTGCCTGTCCTCATAAGAGGAAGAAAATATAACTTTAGCCAATGATTCTCCCAGGACGCTCTGTTGACACTATCCTCACTGAACTCACGAGTTGCACACAGGCAGGTAGCAGTTGGCTCATTTTGCAAAGGAGGAAATAAATCTCAAAAAAGCAAAAGGCTCCCAGGTAACACATAGTCAAAAGCTTCTGAATGCTTCCTGATCTTCCTCCTCACCAGGGTGCCATTTCAGTCTTTCTGAGACTAGCACTGTGCAGATTTGCAAACAGCATCTGGTACCAAGAGACAACAATTCAGGACGCTTCCAAGCTTCACACTAACTACTCCTCAAACATACACGTTTTCTAAGGGCCGACCATCCAATTAAAATGGATCATCCAACCACTCCCCAATTTAGGCATGCCCCTTCGACAGCACGAGGAAAGCCCCAAGAGGGGTGGAAACACTGCGCGACCCACGTAGGGAACAAGAAGCAGCCGGCCTAGTAACCAGGGCAGCTGAGATCCACAACCGGCTCTGCGAGGCACACTGGCAGGCTTGCACCGCCCCTCTAGCGGCAACCCTGGAGACTTCCAGAATCCGCAGAGCCCAAAGCTCCTGCTCCACCCGAGCCACCTGGACACAGCAGAGACGCTTCCTCTTTTGCGGAGACTCACCCTCCGCGGGTGCTCCCCTCGTGGCCCAGCTTCGGACCCTCAACCACTCCGGGCCCCGTCCCCGCCCCTGCAGGTCTCCCGGCCCCGCCCCTTGCACCTGTGGTTTCCCCAGGCCCCGGCCCCGCAGGCCGCTTTGACCTCACCTCGCAGCTCCCTCCCACTGTCAAACCTGCGCTCGCTCCTGACCCCGCCCCCCGCCCCTGCGGCCCCCTCGGCCCCGCCCAACTGCCTCCTCCAACCCCGCTCCCTCCCACGTCCATTCCCGGCCACCAGCCCCTACCGTCTGCTCTCCACGCCCCCCAAGACTAGGGCACCGCAGACACCCGCACTTGAAACTCCGCCGACTAAACCCAGGGCCTGGCCCCGCCTACCGGAACGAGGCCCCTCCCCCCGAGGGGGCCCAGCGGCCCTTGGGTCCCGCCCCCCGCACCTGCAGCTCCCTCCGGCCCAGCCCTCGGGGCCCCGCCCCGCCCCGCCCCGCCCCGCCGGCGGCTGGCCGGTCCTCTCACCACCTCTCTGGCTGCTGCCGCCGCAGTCCCGGCCGGTCACCTTGACGCGGGCCGCAGTAGCTGCCGCCGCCTCCTCATGGCCCTGGGAGTGGCCCAGCAGCAGCGGCGCCTTTGCTCGCAGGCTGGGGCCAGGCCGAGCCGGGCCGGTGTCAGGCCGGGCGCAGCTGGAGCTCGGGCCGATACGGGAGCCCAGCCGGTGCCCAGCCGCAGTAGGAACAGTCCGCTCCCAGACTTGACCGGCGGGCAGCACAACCAATCGGCGCGCGGCAGCAGGCCAGCCCTCGCCAACCAGCTCGTCTCAGGGGCGGAGCCACGCAAATCAGCCAGCTGGTCGCGCCAGTGCGCAGCCGCTGCAGCGGGATTCCTAGGCGGCCTTGGCCTTAGTGCTCGACCGCGGGCGCCTAGTCAACCTGCAGGGATGCTCTGCTGCCTGCACACCGAGATCAGCGACCCGCCACGCCCATCCCCCCTCCCGCGCGCGCCCCCTAGAAATAGCTGTGTATCTTTCAACCCATAGTCCTTCGAGGCCTCACCCAATTTCTCTCTTAAATCTCTACCTAGAATTTATCATTTTCAACAAAAAATGGTTTTGCGAATGAACACCTTAGTGCCCATTCTTTAATAAGACTCAGACGTAGGTATAAGGTTTAGAACGTCAGAATGGAAAGATGCCTCAGGATCCTGGGCCCAATTTGATTGTATTGCTGTGGACAGTTAGGCCCAGCCGGGTGAAGGATCCCTCTTTCCCCAACACCACCACAAAGCAGCGTTGGGGAATGAGTCTGAACCCTGCGTCCCTGCACCTGGATCCATGAGGTGAGCACAGAGAGGCAGTAATTTACTTAAAATCACAGCGACAATAAGTTACAAGGACTGTGGAAGCCACGTGAGTGAAGGCTGGAAGTTTAGAACCAGAAAAACTCTGGTCTGCCACCCTCCCATAGAAAGGAGGTGGGACGCCTGCTCTGTTCTGAGTGCTTCTTGGAAACACAGACAAAGAACATCATTTTGACAATTTTCAAATTATCATGCACTCACATCAGAGTATGAAAAGATTTGGTTACTGTGATTCTCAAAGATTATAGAATGATGAAAAAGAAAAATTGAATTAGTAGAAATTAGACCATTTCTAAGACTTTAAAGGGAGAGTGAACTCTGAGGGAAATGCTTATTTTGTTTTAAGATAACTGTTTTAAGAAAACAGTTATCACCAAAGAATATTCTGTTTTCACAGGCTGAAGCAAGAGGATCACAAGTTTGAGGCTACCAAGACCCTGTCTCAAAGTAAAATTCAAAAATGGCCGGGGATGTGGCTCAGTGGCTGAGGGTCTAGCACCCATGGGGCAGAGTTCAATCCTTAGTACTTACTGCAAAGTAAATGAAATAAAGAAAAATAAAAGACTGCATAGCTCTATGGTTCTTCTCAGAACCTCTGGATTCAGAAATGTGCAGAGTAGGAGCTGAGCAGGAAAACTAAAGCAACAGATGATATACGGAAGAGGGTCTGACGCCTAAGAGAAGCTAAAGAAACCCTGCCTATAGTAAAGGTTTATGTGCCTTCCGGCAAGCACAGTTTAGCACAGTGTTTGCCAAAGATGCTCGGTAGAACTGGAGTCATCACTGTGCTGGAAGGTGCTACAGAACCACTTCCCATGGGCAACAGAACCTTCACCCCACCCCATGCTGTCCCCACTGCCTAGATGGATGGCCAGTTGGGTTAAGTTCCAGAATAAACTGGCTGGTGATACACTGGGTTGGGAAAATGTATGGCTAATTGGCAAGAATTAACCAGTAAGTACTGGCAGAAGCCAAGAAAATATGCTTGGGATTGGATTTTCAGGATGCTTGATCAAGGAAGCTGGGAAGTAAGACTGGATATGGAAGTTATTGGCTTCAAGACACTTTCTCCAAACTTGGGATTTAATACCTGAGTAAGGACCCCAAAAACTGGAGCTACTCTTAAAAGCCTGGAAAAAACACTAGCCAATTCTGCAAACAGGTGCAGGGGCCAGGGATTCAATCCCCAGGCCTGCTGTGCCATCCCCGCCCCAGGGGTGCACTGAGATGGCAATTGAGATTGGGCATGGTGGTGCGCGCCTGTAATCCCAGCATTTGGGAGGCTGTAAACAGGAGAATCACAATGAGTCCAATCTAGTAGTGAGACCCTGAACACCCTGTAGACCCTTCCCTAAAATACAGGGGGGAAAAAAACCACTAGCCAATTCTAAGTGAAGCAGAAGCTCTCTGCCATCTTTCCTCTACTCTAGTAGAGAATGGGCAGGAGTTAGAATTAGGCATGCTGAAAGGGACATGAGCCTTGTTCCTCATGGATTCCGACTCCATGTTTGTGAATTAGCCCACTCAGAAAAATGTTTTAGTAAACTCAGATTGAATACTTGCAGCATCTTCATGGTCATTTGAATTGTCTTTTTTTTTTTTTTTTTTTTTTTTTTTTTTTGTCTCTTGATTTTTGTTTTGTACAGGGTCTCACTATGCAGGTCAAACTCTTAGTGATCCTCCTGTTTTGGGCCTCCCCAGCGCTAGGATTACAGGTGTGTGCCACCATGCCTGAATTTCATGGTCATTTATGGACATGCACAGAATAATAAAAATTTGAGTCAGCTCAATTACAAGTTCCCAGCTGAGGGTTTAAAAAAGTGATCTTGTTTCAGCTTTCACACTACAAGCAGGTGCCTTTTTTCATGTGGGAGCTTGTTTTTTGTTTTTTTCTTTGGGAGCAATTGTGCTTTATGTTTTATTTTCCTCCTTTGGCAAACTCACTTTTTAAAATGATGTTCAGCATAGTGCTGAGATGCTCTTAGTGTTCCCAAGTGCAAAGCAAAAATGCACATGTTAAAGCTTCACTGGGGCACACATAACAGTGCTGTTCTTTGAAGTCAATGTTAGTAAATCGACAATATATACTAAGTAAGGTGTCTTGAAACAAAAACACACATAAAATAAGATTGGTATATTGATTTGCTGATAAAAATGTTGTGACTTGGGCCAGCCGGATAGCTCAGTGGACCAACACACCTACTTAGGCAGATTCAGGGGCCAGGGTTGGATCCCCAGCATGCCGTGCCAGCCCCGCCCCTGGGGTGTGCTGAGACAGCGACTGAGACCAGGCATGGTGGCATGCACCTGGAATCCCAGCACTTGGGAGGCTGAGAACAGTAAAATCGTTATGAGTCTGATCTGTGTAGTGAGACTCTGTCAACCCCGTACTGTACTAAGTACAAAAAAGAAAAGAAAGAAAAAATATATATTGTGACCAGAGTCTCACAGGAACCTAATCCTAACCTAATCTTTCCTCTATGAGCAACAGTTCAATTTTTGCTGAGTTACTCTGCTTCACAGAGACTTTATAAGACATCATTCCCAAAGGTAGTCAAAAACAACTGTGCTTTTAGCAGCCATGGAATCCAACTAGTAATCTTTCCAACAAGGAATGCTGAGAAATGTAGTTCCAAAGCTCCAAATCTCATTAGTATGGAAGAGTGGAAAAGGGAAGATGAGGCACTAAGTGGAAAAAAAAGTTCATGTTGCCCTAAGGTTTACAATATACATTATGTGGAGCCATGCTAGAGATTGGACCCTGGGACTCATGCATACTAAGCACATGCTCTACCCCTGAGTTACACCCTCAGCCCCTGAAATATATATCTTTAATTACTCAGAGCTTATCTTCAAATATTGTTATACTACTTTATATGTAGCATAAGGACTTCATTAGCTGTAGAAATACATGATGACTGAAGGAAGCAGCTTCATTTTCTAGGGCTGAAGGCACAAAGGAAAGAGCCTAGATAGGTGATGGTGACCTTTTAGAGCTTTTAGTGACATATACAGCCCACTATGGCATGCATGCCATAGGCTCGCCCACAGTGGCCTAGATTGTCAAGATCTAGAAATTCAGAAAAGTGACTCAATGAAGTGGGACTTTGGTTTCTAAGAAGGGGGGACTACTTAAGTGGTGCTGATGGGGAATAATGATTGTGCTTCTGGGAATATCAAAAGAAATGGGAAGCAGCTGAAAAACATGCTGTTGGATTATAGGTCTGTCTGCTTCTGTTTCTGAGAAATAGTAAACAAATAGGACTGGAGTCCCTATCCACTATTTCTGTCTTTCTCTCTCTCTCGAGAAGCCACTCATGGCAAATTCTAGCACAAGACCAACAAAGGAGATTTAAGTTTTTAGAGTTCTGCCAGCATGAGACAACAATTGTAGAGCATGGATGTTATCATAAAGAGTAATTTTAACAACTGGCACAGTCCACCCCTTGACCTCTCTGCACCCATCCTTCCACACATATCTGAATATCCACAGAAAACCAACTTTATGTCTGCACCATCAAGGTGCCATGGTCTGATGAAGATAGAGACACTCATCCTTTCTCCAAAAAGAAAAGAAAATTACTGTATCTCTCATTATAACCATAAGTCAGTGTATATCTGCACTTCTGACCAAATGCTTGGGCTACTAAGAGGACTTCTCTTTGCACCATCTTTCAGAGACACACTTAAGTGAGGCTGTATGTGTCCCCTAACTCAGTATCTGCATTCCAGGTACCAGGACTGTGTTGGCTTGCTCTAACAGAGAGCCCGTATGTGGAATAGTAATTGCAAGTAGAGTAATTATCCTGTGAAATTGTAATATAATAGGAAAAAACATATTTGATGTTAGTCCCTGGTTTTTGATACTAAGTTCCTTAAATTTTGTCATTTCCTAAGTTATAGGAGTAAGAGGTGCATCTTTTGTTATTCCTTATGTTTAGACCTAGAATTCCTCTAAAATTCTCCTGGCTTAGAAGGTGATCGATTTGCTATGAGGAGTTAGGCCTGACTGGAATGGGGTTACTGGGGGTGTGACTTGGAAGGTTGTATTTTTCCCCCAGGCTCCTCCCTTCTAACTGCTTCCTGGCTGCTTTGAGGTGAGCCTCTGTTCTCTACTAGGCCTATCCTCCATGCCCTTTCTGCCTTGGAGTCAGAAGACTATGGACTGAATCTTTTAAAAAATGTGAACCAAAATGAACCTCTTGTGCCTTAAGTTGTAGGTAACCACTTGCATATTCCATGACACTGTGCTCAGAAGTTCCCTCTGGGCTGCAATATTACTTATGGTTGAGTATCTTAGTAAGGAAGAGAAGTTCTAGCAGCTTCTGCTTGGCTTTTCCTACCATAATAATCTTTTCTTCACAGGTCAGAGAGCTAATGTGGGTATCCCACCAATTGT